TCAAGTTAACTTACTTTTGTCTATTGTTGATAATGCTATATCTTCACTTATTACTAAATTTGAGCAATTTCAAAAACAGGAGGATACATTTGGATTCTTGTATGTCTTAAGTAAGTTGAAGGAGCTTAGCAATGAGCAATTGGCAAGTTATTGTTACACGCCTGGCAACTGTTTTGAAGCATGGGAATAATTGTGGTAATGATGCAGTTGAGCAACTTTCGGAACCACAATTGCTTGGGAAATCCTTACACACACAACAAAAGTCATTGAAGTGTTGGACTACAGAAAAACATATGCATATTTCTTTTCCAAATGTTTGGATTTCTTACAGAATTTTGATGACTATTTTGGTGGCACTGGCTAATGCGAAAAGAAGCTTTTCAAAGTTGAAACTTATAAAAACTATATACGATCAACCATGTTGGAAGATAGATTAAAATGACTTAGCTATGTCATCGATTGAAAAAAGTGTTAGCTAATCTTGATTGCATTGATGTAATTATTGATTTTGAACTTCAAAAGACAAGAAAAATAGGTCAATAGAGTGTTACAAGTACAACTTGTGGTGTACTTTGAATATGTTTCTATCATTGCATTTTAAAACTTATCCATATGAATTTTACAAATATTATATTGTACACTTCATATTTTATTTTAAAATTTATATATGCGATATTGATGTCATAAGAAAGATCATAAAAAGTTAAGAATTTTGATATGTTTCGTAAAAATTTGAGAAAAAATAGAAAAAGTTATGGAGTATAAAACTTTAAACAAATATGAAATTATACATTTAGAGCCCTTTTGGTTATCCTATTTTTAAAACTTATCATGCTTAACAGTCAACTATTTTATCAAACATGTAACATTAAATTTTGCGCGCCGAATTGAGTAACAATAAGAAAAAATAAGATTGAAGTTACTTTTTGGCTTTATAGGTTGAAGTTACTGTAGAGTATCATTTTATCTATTTTTTCATATAATTTTTTATGGAGTAATTAATTAATAAAATATATTTTAATATTTTCTCATAAATAAGCCAATCCAGCGACTTCATAACTTTTAGCAGAATTAACAATGCAGTCGAGTTGGGCATTATCAAATGGACTCTTTATCTGGCCCCACCGTTCTTTCCTTTCATGCAACAAATTGCTACCATGCATTCCAACTTTTCTCTCCTGTGAATAAATTCTCACCCCAAGAGTTCAGCGAACTCACTTTGACACCTCATTATACTTTGAGTTGCAGTTGTTTTTGGAGTGAACTGCTAAAAAACGACCGTTTTTCCTAAGGTTGAGGGCATCCATATACATATTGTTAAACTCACGAATGAATGTACAGACGTATACGAGTATATCTTATTTAAGGCATACACCGCCCAAGGAAATACATGAATGCTAGTTGTATTTTATCAAATTTAATGCTAGAGGTACATAAAATATGCACACACTACTTACAAACTGCGGAGTATAAAATTACAAATTATTCCCACTTTTACTCATTTCTAGTCTCTCTTTTTACACTCTCTTCCCTCTTTTCTTCCCTTTTACTCATATCTACTAGTTACGGCACACACAAATAATATACCACATAAAGCGAACGTCTGCACACAAACATTGATATACATCACAGACACTTACTTATACATACGTAAAAAAGCACAAAAATTAATGTTTGTGTAAACATTTTTATCTATAGTATAACTTTACAATTACTATTTTTTAGTTTTTTTCTTTGTGCAGACAAATTTGATTAATATCTAATATGTTAGCCATTTTTTATAATAACGCAACAATTCTGACCATTGTTGATTTTCAATTTGGTTTTCTCGCAATTAGTGACAGAACTGGTGTTGTTCCAAGGTGTTCACATAAACACCTAAAATTTTAAAAAACATCCAAGTGTAATTTAATATAAATATTCATAAATCTGCCACTGCTAGCAACACTCCTGATGGAGTATATGGCCCAGGAACCCCCGGCCCATAGACTCCTACTTCTCCTACACAAGTCCGTTGAGCCCAGAGGACAACTCAGGCCCAAATGCAACGGCCCAGACCTCGAAGTAGCCCAGAATACACACTGGGGTGCCTTCGGCCTCCTTGGCCGAAGGCTCCAAAACTCACAGAATAGCCTTCTCTGGCACGAGAAGCTACTAGGAGAAAACGGCGGAAAAAATGAGCCTTCGGCATTATCAAGCCCTCGGTATCAGAGAAGCCTTCGGCTGAACCAAGCCTTCGGTCACACAAGGCATTCGGCTACACAGGGGTCCTTGGTCACATGGAGCCCTCGGCTACACAAGGAGCCTTCGGCCAAACATGCTCAATCATCAAAGATTCCTTTTGGAGACAGCCAACCACCGCATTTAATGCCACGTCACATCCGCCAACCGCATTCAATGCGGTGAACGTACCAATGCCGGTGCCACCCGGCTGATGTGACCCCTCGGCCGTTGGATCACTGACACGTGTACCCTCATCGCATTTATTGCTGCTATAAATAGCAGCCCATTTCCCCTTGTAAACGATCCACATCCATCTCCACATCTCGAGTTCATTTAATAAATCGACTCTCTCTCCTCCTATTTTGCTCTGACTTCTCTCTAAGTTATTTCCGCAATAACCCCTCGGATAAGATACCCCCCGGGTAGACTGTCCATCAACTCCATTTCTGAATTTTAAAAATTGGAAAATAGTGGGGAAAATGGAAGACAGATCTTTATATATAATATTTAAAGTAACAGTCTTGCTATCAATATTGGAGGGAAAATTCCCGCCCAAATAAAAGACATAATTGGAAATTAATATTGAACCTAAAAAAAAGCTGCCCAAGGGAGAAACCGTAGAGTGTAGATGCATGTAAGGAAATGAAATATAATAATGAAGCATTTATTATAAACAAATTTTTATCAAACAAAATACGTGTATATTAATATGCAACCTGAGATATATTAGGATATATGTCAACCTACTATAAAAAATATTCAACAAATTAACTAAAAATCAAAATAAAGTGCAAGTAAATGTGCAATCAATATATTAGATTCGCTAACCTGCTATGGAAATTTCCGTTCACCAAATAAAAAAAGTGCTACGTATTATATTGCTCAATGGTTTTTGGAAAGAACTAAGAGACACCCAACATTTATTTTTGTCCACTTTTGAAGTTGACATATATACATTGTGCGTATAAATGCATTATGGTTTGACTGGATTATATATGTCAACTTTTCAAATTGCTTATATGAACCATAAAAAAAATTGCCTTATACGTAATACCGAGTATATATGTTGTATGTGCTATGTACATATAGGTAATTACACCTAAACAATAAAAAAGCAAGTGCAGCTACTTTAGGTGGTTAAAATCTAAATAATTCATATTCGTCCCATTGAAGCAATTTTATCCTTGAATTGTACCATTAAATAGTACCTTGAATAAGCAATTTTGTCCAAGTTTTGTCCAAAAATAGTACCATTGAAGCAATTTTAAGTTTCTAAAACCTGAATAATTTAATTGCTTATATAAATAGCAACAAAATGGTTCAATTCACACCCTCATAAACTCTGTTTATATACTTAATTTTCTGCCTTTCATTAACAATTCCAGTAGCATCTAGATGAAATCTGGTCCAGATCTATTAGGGTATCCCCATCCATTTGATTATTTAAGGTCTAATTGGATGATGTGGAAATATACTTGAAGGATTGTCGTTGTGAGTTAAAGATTATTTAGGAAGATTATTGAAAAAGAAAACCCGGTATCAAGATTTGGATCCCGAATTATTTTAGGTTGTAGTTAAATTGCATTTAATACATGATTAGAAAAACTATTTATTTGGAGTATCATGGTTGATGAAGACTTTTAAGATTTGAGATTATTTAAAATTTATTGAATAAATGTAATGTGTCAAAGATATGTAACAGAAAAATAATTTATTTTAAGATTATGAATGGAATGCTCTTATGTTGTTGTGCTCTAAAGGATATAATAATAATTAGCGAAGAGGGAAAACATCATATACAATTATATAGAATGCTAAATCTGATGAAGTGTAATATTTTTCTTATATGAGCTAAAGATTTTATATAAATAAATATGTATAAATGTTAAGCTATGCATTTTTGTATACGCACAATGTATATATGTGTATCCATAATGCTAAATGTAGGTGTTTTTTATTTCTGAAATTTAAGATCATGTGGCAAATGAAAAAGTAATTTTGGTTCTCAAGAGCTTTGGGACATTAAAAAGTAATATACGGAGTATTTTATATTGTTTTTACTTGTTTTCAGCCTCAGACCACACCAGATCAAGCTTCAACAAATCAGACCAGATCAGATCATACTTCCATAGTTATAAAATAAACAGAGACCACACATTTACCAGACCTGACCAGAACAGTTCAGACCACACCAGACCAAACTTGAATAGACCACACCATTCCAACAAATGTCAGTCCAAGTAAAAACATCCAAAACAGGCTGATGAAGTATATATTGTTTACTATGTATAGGAAAAGTTCATTCTAATGCGTGAAATCAAAAGTTACACGTTTGATGGGGAAAATGGCTAATAAAGCATGATAAGCCGAAAATTATGGTCACCAAACAGGTCCATCCCACCACAAAAGTTTTGTTTTTGTTTCTATTTTTCATGAGTGGTTTATTATAAATATTAGGTGAGAAGAGATTAATAGCAAAATTCGGCAGTGTTTGAAAAAAATTGTTAATGTCTTTTTATATAATCATTTCCAGATTTTCATTTCCTTGCAACTTCTATTATATAATCAAAGTTACAATATACTCCCTATAAAAGCTATTGTCTTTTTTATTTAGCAAAATTACATAATATGCATCATTTTAATAAAATATACTTTTAAATAATATGTTAATGTACTCCGTATTATATTCTAGATATACCTCGTGCATCGCACAGGTACTTCGTCTAGTAGAGATAAATGATAAATATGGAAATGAATAAATGATGAAGATAGGGATGGCGGGGATAAAAGAACAAAGACAGTTAAAAGTGAGGAGGGCTGTAGGTAAAATGCAAAATTGAAATGGAAAATATATGCACCGCATTTTGTATTTTTATAATGTTGCATACCTCTTTCCGTCAAAAATGGCTCCTCCTTTCTCAAACTGTACTACGGAATTATATTCCATTTGAGAACAAACTTATTCTCCGCTCCAGGTAGATCTTTGCTCTCCTTTGATTATTGTTTGTTTTATTTCGAGTTTTGTTTTCCGCTGTGAAGAATTTCTCCGATGTTAACGATGATGCCAAGTGGCTACTCCATCTCCATGCGAGATTATCGTATAGGATTTTGATTTCTTCAAATGTCTTTTCAACGCCAACTGCTCGAAGAAATGTCTCAAACTTTCATTTTTTTTATTTATTTCAAAGCAGTTGTCAGTTGATATTATGAGATGAACTTAAGGTATTTTTGTGTATGTTTGGATACTAGGTAATCAGATTGCATATTACTACAAGAAGTACATAAAAATCATATTTTATATGGCAATACACTTCAATGCTTCATCTACATATTAAGATCAAATCACGTACTTTCAAAACATATTATGTTCTCCACCTCAACCCAAAGGCTTCTTTAGTTGTCAATTTCAATTTACTTCGAATGTAGATAGAGAGTACAGATCATTGACTTCTCAAAGCTGGTACATATTTTTCCTTGGGGGGGGGGGGTGGGTTGAACTTCATAATTGTGGAGCACTGGAGCCTGGATATGCAGTTTTTGGTGTTGAATTGTAATTAGAAAAAGGGATAATCATGTTGATGGAGGGGAGATTGTTAAACTAATCTATATTTTAGAAGGTAGAAGCATGGGATTAGAAAGAGAAATGAAGTGCAAGGGCCAGTTCAATGTGATAAAGGAGAGAGTGAGTTTAATTGGAGATTTAAAAGAGTGGCTAATCAGAGTAAGACTTTGCAAAAATAGATCACTAAGGTAAAAAACTAACTGTGAGATTGAATGGCCTGGGGATCTCTATTGTACCCAAGGTCCTGATCCTATCTGTGGCCTGAAAACATCTTCTTGGTTGATTTTGCGTAGAACATTGCTCCAAATAGGAGCAAACACGAGTCATATGCACAAATAGAAGTATCCCTTGTTTTGTACTACAGGATTCGTTCAGTTCTAATGAAAGTAGTTAAAAACATATTTTAGGAGTGATTAACTACTATTTTCAGAAAAAACAATGATTTTGAGGAAATGTAATACTCCGTATGATTTAGTCCTATATATGGAATTCTCTCTTGTAATATTTATATTCAGGAGAGAAAATTTGACAAAATATTTTGTATTTTTATACTCCAAGAAAAAAATTAATTAAATGAGCCCTTTAAATGGAAAATTGCAATATAGCACTTACTTTATTCCTCTTGCCTTGATTTTAAGCGATTTCCAGTTTGATGTTTGTTTTCAGCCTTTAATATCGTCAACATCCAGTTGTCCTAGCAATTTTATTTTCTACAATTAATGCTATATACTTGAATATGCTTTTAAGCTTGTTGGAAAAAGATAATTATTTCAAACATGTGAACACTTATTAAAGAAATGATTAACCAAATTAAACAGTAAATTTCATAATTACTACTACGTATTTTATTTCTTCATGTATCGAAAAGTAAAAGAAACAATGAGGAATGATTTTAGTAAAGTACCTTTAATAAGAGCACTTTTTAGGAGCATATTCAAACAAATGTTAAATGGGCACCTTCTTCCAATAAGCATTAATAGACACACATTTCTATTAATGTTACTATTTATTTTGCTGTACGCTGCATAGTATTTAGTTTCTTAGTTTAGTGATGGGAACTACAGGCGGAGTGGAGAATGACTATCAGCCGATGATTGAAGTCCCATTTGATCTCTTTGTGACAAAGAAACAGAAGGTGTTTGACGTGGACGGCAAATTCGAATTCACTGATTTGTTTGGCAATTTGCTCTTCGAGGTTGAAAGCCTATCAGCTGATTCTTCGTCTCATCCAAATGGCCGGAAGTTTCTCCTTGACGCTGCTGGAGATACGCTTATCACCGTGGTCCAAGCAATTGTGAGTCTTTTCTCTCCGTACCTATAAATTTTTCGTCTTCAGGTTATTCTTGATCACTCTATTTTACATTACACTCAATTTGGCCATCAACTTTCTTTTGGATTCAATTTGATCCACAACTGTGCAATTTATACTCAATTTGGAACCTGCAACATACATTGTTCTATTAATGAAGAGTGTTTTCGGCCACTTGGACTTAAATCAGGTCCAGATTAAATAGATCAGAAGCAAATGCATTCCCGAATTGGGTCTAAATTTAGTGAATCCGCAAAAATACTCTACTTTGAACAAAAAATGTATGACAACTAGATTGGTCTAAATTGCATAGCTGAGGACCAAAATGAGTATTAAGCCGAGCACCAAGTTAAGAAATGGTGTATAGCCAAGGGACTAGGTGGGGTATTAACTCCTAATTTAATACTCCGTAATTAATTTCAACTCCATGTAATAATTGTTTATTTCTTTATTATTGCATTGTTTGCTTGATGCAGAAAGGAAAGTGGAAAGGGTTTAAGGGAGAAAGCACTCAGGAAAGGGAAATGTTGTTCAAAGTGGAGAGGGTTACAAATACATTTACAGATAAAGAGTTTGAGATATTTCTTTGTGATGAAAACATTGAAGAAGGAAAAACCGATTTCAGGATGAAGGGCTGCCCTTTCAAAAGATCTTGCACTATATACAAAGGAAACTCAATATTGGCTCAGGTAACTTTGTTGTGTTAGTGTGTTACATCCTCTGTATTCTCAAAATTATACCAACTTTTTTGAGGGCTTTCCTTTGATTGGTACATGATAACATGAATTGAGGATATTCTTGTTTGTTGAGTGTGTTGGTGTTCTTAAGTGGCCTGTTTAGGATTGCAGACTAGCTCTTATTCTGCTAATCATCCGAAGAGTTTGTGTTCAGTTTAGTCCTTTGACTTTACACCGTTCTCAGTTCAGTTCATATGCTTTTTGGGACTCAATTTGGTTCCCTGATCATGAAATATAAACCCAATTTAATCTCCATCCTCATTTTACTCTAATTAAAGAAAAGTAGTTTTGTGTGGCAATGACTAAATTGGGTCCAAATTGCGTAGTTGTGGACCAAGTTGAGTCCTGAATTGAGTCTAATTTGAGTGTCAGGACAAAATGCTCTTCTTATTTAGAACCAAATATGCAGGAGTACCAAAGGGTTCAAATCTCATAGTACAGGTTTAAATTGAGTATAAAAAAGATGGGGAACCAAGTTGAGTAAGGGTATATACTTGAGGGGCTATATCTGGCAGTAACTCTTCTTCGAGTTTGTTTTTGTTGCTGTTCATTCTAGACTAATGATTTTCTTATGTATTTCCGGAATTTTAATTTTTATTGCAGACCAGCCTTATGTATACTATTGGGTCGGGCAAGTATTGTGTTCCTAGGAGCAGATTCCGAATCACTCTATTTCCAGGCCCTTGTGATATTGTTATGATCGTTTCTTTGGTTGTAATATTCTTTTATAAAAGAAGGTTTTTGGTATAGCACAAAATGTCAAAATAACCAAAATATATCCCCTCCTATTACCACCTTTAAGTAATCGATTTTACAAGGCAATGGACATCACGACCTATTTGAGGCGTGTTTATAACAAACAATGTTTTCATGAATGGATGAATCTTGGAGCCGCCATTGATGGTGGGAAGGAGCTTGCAGCATTGGAGTAATGGTAATGGCCTTGAGGGAAACCAAGGCTCGATCCGTTTGGTTAAGGGAAAATGTTTTATACTCCGTAACTGTTTTGCTGTAAACTAATTTGTTTATGTTGTTTGGATGAAATGGAGCCGGAAATAATCTCTTAAAAGGTCAATATTCCTCTTGAATTTTCGTTTTTTGCGGAAACTGCTATGCCCTTTGAAAACGGAATAGTTTTCCGATACAACATGTGCCTATGTGGTAAACATGTGATTATAAAATACTCCCTCGTCAAAATAAATGTTATTTGATAAAAGAGTGAATTATAGGACAAAAAACTGGTCAAAGAGCACAAATAGGACTACATCTTTGGACAATTTAGCCTTGTATTAAAAAAAGTGACTTTATAAGCAGAGATGAAAAGGTCAAAAGATGAGGCAGGGTCATTATTATATTGACTTGTGAATAAATGATCGGCCACGCATTTGACTATGGGAAAGTCAAAAACATCTTCTTAAGCTGGCCGTTTTTTTGCAACATGCTACTTGCTACCCATAATGTTGAAAACAAAAGCTATGCATCCACACAGTTTTCTTGGGTAACTTTATATATACATGTAATATGTACATACATGTACATTTTTTAGTATAACTATATAAAATATGTGCTTTATATCATTATATGTCAAAATCTTTATAGTAAAAAAATTGTACTATTACTACTATAACACTTATTATTCTTTAATTACGTAACACTACAAGAAATTAATAGCAATAATCTATGCTCCCTTCATTTCAACCTGTTTTGCAAAAGATGCTTACCAGATTGACTGAACATAAAGTTAATCCTTCTCAATTTGTTTTGCAACAAATATATATCTACAAGCTATACTAAAAGCTTTATTGAAAAGCAAATGATCACATATCTAAATTTATTACAATTAGACAATCAAAATTAGAGCATGAAATGATTACAAATTGATACTTACAATTAAAAATATAACTTTTTATTAAGTATTGGAGTTCCATTTTTAAAGGTCAACATAATATGAGGAGTAATACAAGATCTTATATAATGTTTTATTGTTTTATACCGTTCTGATGTAGGACAAATACTTTAATATTTTCCCTTAATTCAGCAGATTTAGCCAATTCAGTCAGATTGTCATAAATTTCAACAGATTTGACCAATATCAGTGTCACCAAACATGTCTGATGGAGTATATGGCCCAGGAACCCCCGGCCCATAGACTCCTACTTCTCCTACACAAGTCCATTGAGCTCAGGAAACAACTCAGGCCCAAGTACAACGGCCCAAGCATCCAAGTAGCCCAAAACACATACTGGGGGGGCCTTCGGCCTCCTTGGCCGAAGGCTCCAGAACTCACAGAATAGCCTTCTCTGGCATAAAAAGCCACTGGGAGAAAACGGCGAAAAACATTAGCCTTCGGCACTAGCAAGCCCTCGGCATCAGAGAGGTCTTCGGCTGAACCAAGCCTTCGGTCACACGAGGCCTTCGGCTACACAAGGAGCCTTCGGCTACACAGGGAGCCTTCGGCCAAACATGCTCAATCATCGAAGATTCCTTTTGGAGACAGCCAACCACCGCATTTAATGCCACGTCACATCCGCCAACCGCATTCAATGCGGTGAACGTACCCCTGCCGGTGCCACCCAGCTGATGTGACCCCTCGGCCGTCGGATTACTGACACGTGTACTCTCATCGCATTTATTGCTGCTATAAATAGCAGCCCATTTCTCATTGTAAAGAACACCACATCCCAACTTCACATCTCGAGTTCATTTAATAAATCGACTCTCTCTCCTCCTATTTGCTCTGACTTCTCTCTAGTTATTCCCGCAATAACCCCTCGGATAAGATACCCCCGGGTAGACTATCCATCATTTGGTGCTCTCGTTGAGAGGTCTGAACTATCAAGTGAGAAACCCTCCCCCCATACCAAACACAAAACACTTACCAAAAATGGGAAGAACTACTCGTGCCCAATCCAAAACCCTGGAAGAGAACCACGTAGCCCCCGGTGAAACCAACGGGGCTGAGGCCTCCAACAGGCTCTTAGTGCCCGAGGGTGGTATCATCCTCGAATTGGAGCAGGCTACCGCTGACCTCCGTCAGCAGCTGCAGAAAAACACCCCTGATGCCCGCATTGGCCTTGATAATCGAAGGAGGGATCGGAGTGAGAACCAAGTTCCCCCTCCGGCCTCGGCCATCGTTCTTCAGGCTGCCTTTGCGGCCTTTGTTCAAAACATGGCTCTCAATTCTGGAGCCCTCGCCTCTCAGGCACCCCTTCAGCCCTATGCTGGAGGGAATGTTATCAACCTACCACCACTCCCTCCCTTGTTCAACAACCCTCCCCCGGGGGTTGGCAATGCCGAGGGGGTCATAGCACAGGATACCGCCTCCCAGGAGGCTCAATCCAGGGATAAGCGCCGCATGATGAAGGAGAAACCCCGGACCTCTGCACTTGAGAGGCTTGGGGGAGCTCCCGGACGCCGAGGGGTCCAAGACCACCTCGGCAAGCAAGAATTCAGCAGACCTTAGGAGAGTGGTGCCTCCGCTTCGGGGGCCGAGGGCGTGCCTCCCCCCCGGAGCAAAGGCAAAGCCCTCCTCCATGCCGATGACGCTAGGCACCAAATCAATCAGGCGCAATCCTTCCGGGCCAACTCCCAAGGGGTTGCCCCGAAGGATCCCAAGGACAAGATCATTGAAGCCCTCCTCCGTCAACTCGAGGAGAACCGCCAGGCGCCCCCGACGGCTTCCACAGCGAGGCCAGATCCAGAGTACGCTGACCTCCGGGCACAGGTGGAAGAGATGAAACGTAAACTCGCCGAAGGCTCAGGCGAGCCCCTCATTCAACTCCGCACTAGGACGCCTTTCACCCCAAGGGTGCTAGCGGCCAAAATCCCCCACAAATATCGGGGGCAACCCATCAAGCCGTATGAGGGGAAGACGGATCCCCAAGAGCACTATAGCCGTTATCAAAACAGCATGATGATGATGGGGGCCTCGGATGAATACTTATGCCGTTGGTTCCTTTCCACCCTGGAGGGACCAGCGTATGAGTGGTTCAACCGGTTGCCCGAAGGCAGCATTGATTCTTGGCAAGAACTTGCCCACCGCTTCCTCACACAATTCGCAGGGAGGCACCGCTCAAAGAAACACTTCTCCCACCTTCTAAACGTGAGACAGCAGAAGGAGGAAACCCTTCGGAGTTTCCTAGAACGCTGGAGGCAGACCTCCCTCGAGGTCGAAGGCGCCGATGACAGAACCCTGATGGCCCTCTTCCACACCGTCCTCCGCAACGGTAACTTCTCTCGGAGTCTCATCACTGATCCCCCCCGCGATTATACGAAAGCCCTTCAGCGGGGGGACCGATACGCCGAAGCAGAAGAGATCGAGAAGGACCGCCGCAACACAGATCCTTCCCAGAAAAATGAGGGCAGGAATCGGCCCGGAGGGCCTCCCCCTCCGGCCAACCGAGAACCACAGTACAACGATCGCTCCCGAGGTGGCCAAGCCAGACCCGGGGGCGGCTACAAGAACAATCCGAAGGCGTGGGCGCAACCCGTCCTCCTCGAGCACCCACGTACTCCTCTGACGCACCCCGTCAGCGTCATCTTGGACCACGCAGAAGAGCGAGGGCTGGTGGAACGAGACTCCCGTACACCCCTCGAGATTTATGCCATCGGTCCTGATGAGCCCTACTGCCGCTTCCACCGCTACCATGGACACAAAACCGACGATTGCCATCAACTGAAAAACGCAATTGAGAGGCTGATACAGGCGGGCCACTTGTCTCAGTTTATCAGGGGGCCTCCTCCCCAGGGCCCCCTTCACCATCAAGGTCCTCCGCCGAAGGCAAACAAATGGGTGAACCCCAACACCATCCCCTTGGGAAACCCACAGGGGAAGAAGCGTGAAATTGGGGGCCTCGATGATGAGGGAGAGGGCTCCCATCAACAATACAAGCGCCATATTCATATGATCAACGGCGGCAACACCGGAGGCGATTCAACAAGCCAAAGGAAGAAGTGGGCACAGTCCCTTTACATTGGGGAAGTCAATCACATGCCCCCAACTAAAAGGCCGAGGGCGGATCCAATCTTCTTCACAGATGCGGACCTCCCCTCGGGTTCTCTGCCGCATAGGGATGCCCTCGTCATCCGCACTGAGATCAATGACGCCATCATCCACCGGACTTATGTCGACACGGGGAGTTCTGTCAACGTCATGTATCTCAACACTTTTCAAGAGTTGGGACTCGACAGGGGGTCCCTTCGGCACATCAACACCCCCCTCTCCGGATTTACGGGGGATAGCGTAGACGCCGAAGGCGTCATCACCCTGGTGGTTGAATTCGGCGACGGGTCCCATAGAGCCAAGCTCGAAGTGGAATTCGTCGTCGTCAACCTCGACTGCGCGCACAACATCATCCTCGGCCGGCCTGCCCTCGAGGACTTAGAAGCCGTCATCTCCATGAAACACCTTTGCCTCAAATTCCCTACACCCACCGGCATCGGCTATTCGAGGGGGAACCAGAAACTCTCCAGGGCCTGCTACCTTCAGCTTACCAGAAAGGTTAGTAAAACTGAGTTTCGTGTGGACACCATCACCACCAAGGCCTTGGAGGAAGAAGAAGGCAGGCCGAGGGCTGAGCCTGCCGAGGAGACCGAAGACTTGATACTCGATCCGGCCAAGCCGGAGAGAGTCCTGAAGATTGGAGCCAAGCTCCCCGAAGACTTGAAGGCTGGCATCACTGGAGCCCTCCGCGCCTACTCCATGGTTTTTGCATGGGGGCCGGAGGACATGCCAGGTATTTGACCGAAGGGTTATCACCCACCGCCTGGCGGTGGACCCTTCGGCCAAACCGATACAGCAGCGGAGAAGACCCCTCTCGGCCGAGAGAAGGGAGTTCGTGAAGAAGGAGGTGGCCATGCTCCTCTCTATCAAACACATTAAGGAGGTGAAATATCCTTCTTGGTTGGCAAACGTGGTCCTCGCACAGAAGCCCCCTACCTTTCGCATGTGCGTGGACTATACAGATCTGAATAAGGCATGCCCTATGGACTCCTTCCCACTGCCAAACATTGATCAACTAGTAGATGAGACCGCAGGATGCGAAATCATGTCTTTCCTCGACGCATTCCGCGGATATCATCAAATCTA